CCTCCCTGAAGTGCCAGGACTGTGCAATGAGCCTGGTTGAGTTGATGGTTTGGTTACCTTTTCATTTGTCTTTTGCCATATCTGGGACCAGAAGTGGAGGGAAGTAGTGGTAGGAAGTGACTCAGGGAGGGTAACTCAGAGGTTGACCTCCCTCGCCCCCCAGAGGTCAAATGTTGCTGACCTTCTTAGGACCTTGGGTAAGAGCCTGGTGGAGTGGTGGGCCTGGGCTCCCGTATCATTGCTCCATTGAGTGGATGCTAACCACTAGGCCTCACAGCCTACTGAGGACCCTATTACAGTTACATACTAGTGGTAATGACTTGCTGCTGGGATGGTACACAGTGCAGCAACCTAGTTGTCTCTCTTTGCCCCAGATTCTCCCTATGGGCTTATGGGCCTGATTTTTCCCCTCCTTCCCCCCTGCCCCACTGATGTGTTGAGCACCTGCATTTCCCAATGACTCCAGCAGTCACTGGGTCTTTGAAAATCAGACACCATATGATCAGCACGGAGGGCGGTGGAATTTATTTCATTTGGAGTGACACTCATGACTGCATATAACTGGCTGTCACACCACCAGTCCTCTGCTCCAGATGCAAGAATATGCACAAAACAAGCACCATCTGTACTGCAGGACTTCACAGCAAACCTGGTGATATGACTATAGCATGAAGAGCTCTGGCTGCTATAGCAGCTCACTATGTGGCACAAGGCTTAAATGGAGGAGTGGCAAGGAGAAGGGAACAAGAAAGAGGGGTAGGTGAGGCAGAGTTAGTGGGGAGGGAAAGGGACACAATAAAGGGGGAGCAGGGAAATTAGCATTCTATAATCCCTTTTCTCCAATGCTGCTATTGGTACAGTGACTGTGTGGGCAAACATAGAAACATAGTTCATGCTGCCTTGGGCATTAAATCCTGTTGTATTGAAAAGGAATGTTGTCCAGGACAGAAGAGGTGTTCCTTATATTCTCCCTGAAAATGCCAAGCTATCTTGAACTTTAACGTGGATATGGAGAACCACCAAAGAAATAGGCGCAAGTGACCTCAGCTTAACAGTGTCTGAATAAGTGGCGTCTTTTATTTCTCAAACAGTAAACTGAACAGAGCTAGCCATTCAGGGATTTTACACAGGTATTTTCCTATTCTCTACTGCTTTTTAAGACATTTTTGTAAACATCATTTGCTTTCCTTTATCTGATTAAATAGTACAGACTTTACAGCTGTCCTCAGAGTTCTGTTTCATAAACTGTAACACTGATTTAATTATTTTAATTCCTTTTCCACAGCAGTATCTATTGTAGTGAGTCAGTGACTCTCAGTGGTCAATGCACTTACCAGAATGGCCGAGTGGTTAAGGTGTTGGACTTAAAATCCAATGGACGTGTGTCTGTGTGGGTTCAAACCCCACTTCTGGTAGCAATGTTCTTTTGACATTGATAAGGAGTAATGGTTTCAAGTTGCAGTGGGGGAGGTTGAGGTTGGATATGGGCGGGGGGGGGACTTTTTAACTAGGAGGGTGGTGAAGCACTGGAATGGGTTGCTTAGGGAGGTGGTGGAATCTCCTTCCTTAGAGGCTTTTAAGATCAGGCTTGACAAAGCCCTGGCTGGGATGATTTAGTTGGGGATTGGTCCTGCTTTGAGCAGCGGGTTGGACTAGATGACCTCCTGAGGTCCCTTCCAACCCTAATATTCTATGATTCTATGAGAGAGGATCTCTCTCATATAGTGATCCACAGAAGGAAAATGTTGAAGAACCATAGTAGTGAGCCATTAAGTTACTGTGTACCTGGCCTAGTGCTACATTGACATTGCTTAGATCTTGTTCACACAAGTATAATTGTAACATCTAGAGATGGAAGAGACCTAGTATGTTATCTGCTTCATACCTCTCCACATTACATGAAACACACAGCAACTGATCTTTCTTTGAAGCTCTTCCGCTACATGCTCTGAAACTTGTCACAAATTCATAGGAGGGGAAGGAGAAGAAGACCGTAAAGTCTCACCTTTTTTTTTTTTGTCACTATTCTAATAAATTAGAGGTTTAAAGTATTTGACCATTTTTTCCATTATTTGACAATATTTGGTCAACTGACCAGTCAATTATTTTTGTACCATGTCTATATATGGTACAAAAATAATATAAAGCCTGGAGCGGAAAACAGGGTTGGATTACTCCATAATTGCCCTATTCTGTACACCTACCTGAAACTCTGGTACAGACCACTGTTGGAGACAGAATACTGGCCAAGCTGGACCATGGTCTGACCCATTATGCAGCTCTTATGATCATATATTGCACACAGCAATATATTTTGGGCCCTTTGCAGCATGTTTTGGAGGTATCTACCTTGCATTTGGGTTGGAGTAAATTCTATTATTGTAGTATTATCTTATCAGTGGTAATTCAGGGCAGCATTTGGACCTTTGGTAGGATATACAGAAGTATGATTTTAAGCCAACTCCTTACGAGTACATGATTAACCCCTGTTATACAAATTGCTCTTTTGACAAACTGCCAAAATAAGCCTGAACATGAATACTTTCCTTTATTTCCTTCTGGCTTTATTTCTTTACCCAAGAAATACTAAATAGGACAGTGGTGGTGGTTTGCTTTTTCTAACCTCTCTACTGCATTTAGGATTTATGTTGTAGCAATAGTGCCACTTACAGACCTCCCATCAACACTTTTAACTGATTTCCACTTATTATGTGCCTTTGGTTGTCTCTTATTTATCTGAGGACAGCTACGTTCTTGTGTTTCACCAACACACAAATAGGGATTACTTCATTCATCAATCTGGGATGGCAAGAAGGAACTATGTAGCTTCTTAGGAGGTGCAGCAAATGAAGAACATATTGTGCTCATTTGAAATTAAAGGGGAATATAGATAAGCAGAATGCAATTACTCAAGTTGGAATGCAGACAGAATTTTGGAAATAACACTTACTCCTGTAGAAAGTGCTATGGGATCTCTCTTCTTCAATTACCTGGACTAATTAAGTTCTCAATTTTTATCTTTCACTTGAAAGACAGCACCTGTAGCTGCATGGGTTCTGTAGTTTCTCAGCGGGAAGACTGCCCCCATCTAACATCATGGTCCCCTATACAGTATTACACTGAATTGTCAACACTAATTAGCCCAAGTGAGAGAGTAGGTGTTTAAACTTATGACCTTCCATTCATAACTGATGGTGTTAACAAATGAATTGTTTTAGCACCAACAAGTGAGGCCTGCAGTGAGGTGGTGCTTAAATAAGCTGGTTTCGCATTTTACAAAGACTTTGGGCATGTCTACACTGCACAGTAAGCCCGATTCTGTGGGACAGTGTCTCCAAGCCTGTGCTGGAGTGTCTGCGCTGCATTGTAAACCTGAGTTTACAGTTGCTGGACTCAGGTCTCACAGCTGTGCTAACGTGTCCATACTGGACTATGCAAACCTGACTCTGGTCTGCTGCTTGACCTGCATTCCCACTGCAAAATGACAGTGCGTGGACCCAAGTCACAGTGGGATCTACTTCTCCCAGCAGGTCCTAGGACTTGAGTTCTGGCCGACCCAAGTTAGACTGATTTGTGTGTGAATAGAAGTGGAGCGTGGGCTCAAACCTGAGTCAGAACTTGGATTTCATGTGCAGTGCACACATATCCTTGGAGTCTAGCCATAGAAATGAATAGGCAGGTACAAACTGTGAGTCTCTTATAAATCTCATCTTCCCCTTGATGCCATGTCCTTTTTGGTGCTGTGTTGATTTTAATTACATGGGCATTGTGGGTTGGTTGTTCTGGGCAAGTAGAAGAGGTTATCTTCTCCATATGCCCAAGAGGCAATTCCACTAGATAGAATGTTTAGGATTTTAAACAAATATCCTGCCATACAACATGTCCTGTTGTCCATACCAATTTGTGATGCTTGTTTGCAATGTTATTGTGCTGTTAGAAGCCATAGGTAGGAAGAAGTTTGCTAAAGTAGATAGCTTGATGTAAGGAAACGTTTAACTAGTTGTTAGAACTTGGCACAGGGACTCAAATTCTGTGTTCTATTCCCAGCTGTGCCAATAACCCACTCTGTTACCATGGGTAACTCACTTAACTTCCCTAGATGTCAGTGTCCCTCAGTGAAAAATAAGGGTAAGAGTTACCTACACCATATGGTGGTTGAAAGATTTAATTTAATAATGTTTGCATACTGACTTAATATTTTCTGACTTGCTAGAGAGCAAAAGATTTTTTTTTCTTTAAAATGTTCAATTTACTAAGAAATGGAGACAAATTATCAAACCTTCCAAAAATAAAGTAGAAAACAGTGCTGTGTCCAAGTGTATTGTCTTTTAGCTACTCTTTTCTTAATTGATAATTCTTATGTCACCTGACAGTAACATGATCAAAATGCTTTAGCTGTAGCTGGATCTTTTCTAAATCCAAGGTGATTTTATGAAAAACAATAAAAAGCCACTTCTGTTGCATGATAACAGAATAAACTATATGCTTCTGTAGAAGCAGTAAAGGCTGCAGAAACAAGGGGCAAACATCTTTTCATGAATTGGTGGGTGTATGGGGCAGATATTTTTCCAGTGCTGCAGCAAATTTTCCAGCTTATCAGGTCAATGCAGAGAAAGGAGCAAATGCTTCCCAATTCATATACTTTGGGATATAAGAAAAGGGTCAGTATTAATTTAAAAAAAAAAGCTTGATTTGTAGTGGATGAAATCTCAAAATGAAGTAAATATGAATTTATGTTCTGTGGAGCAACAGTTATAAGTGGCTTTGGAAAGCAAAAGTCTTGCAGTTGTTAGCAGGGTATTAATGTTTGGGCTTCTAGTGAATCCTAAATTAGGTGCTGGGGTTGCTGTTGGTAGTGGTTTTTTGTTTTTATTTAATTTATATATAATATAAAATAAAGTAGTTCTGAACATGAAGAGGGACTTGGGGAGCCTAGAAAGATCTGCTAACCTCCCAGGGGGCTATATTAGATCTCTGAGTCATGGAGTCCTTGCATAGTAAGTGTTTGGTTACAAGCCTTTTATGGGCCCCAGCTCAGCTGGGATATCAGTATCTGTATTATAGCTCCTATCTATTCTTAGGTGGCACTTCAGCAGGACTGAGCAGGCAAGGCAACAAAGAAGCAATTATTGTGTTCTCAATATTTGTAAATGTCTTTTTTCTTTATTTTTAAAAACATTTTCTTTTATTTCCCTCCCCATACCCCTTTTCTGTAGAGCCTTTTTGGTGACCTGCGTAAAAGAGTTACAAAATGTCTTACAACGTGACTCTAAATGGACCTGGACCATGGGGTTTCCGACTGCAAGGGGGAAAGGACTTCAACATGCCCTTGACCATATCCAGAGTAAGTGCTAATACCCAAAAAGCCTTCTTGCATTTGCTTAGGTTGGAAAGTAGCAGCAAAGGAGTTGCTAAATGCACACTCTAACCTGGACAAAATTAAGAGATTGGTCAGTCTACTTAAATAGAGGCAAAAGGGACTGAAAAAACAGAGCATTTTAGTTGAACTAAAAAGAATAGAATGTTTTCTTTTAGCACATTTAAACTTGCTGATTCAAGGCATAGCTGATAATGCCAAGAAGCGATATCTTAGATGGATTGTATAAGAAAGATGAAGCTGCATCTTTACTCAATAAGAGCAAAAACCTCCTTTTAAATTAATGTTTCTGTCATGCTATAAAACAATTTTATTTTCCATAATATTGCTTCTTTGCTGTGACCAAGGGGCCTTATCTACTTTGTTTGTAATGAGGTTTGGTGATGGAGGGAAGGAAAAGGAAGTGTTCATAATAAATCAAATGAAGTTTCCAGAAAACGAGCATGTAGCTGCCTATAAATGTGTATAGTTTGGGTTTTGTCGGACTTTTTTGTTTTGACATCTTCTCCCCCCGCCCCCCGGCTTTTCATCTGTAGTCCATCAAGCTTTAGGACCTGTGACTATTTTTTTTTTTCTTACTTGGCGCAGAATAGTGTAGCCACATTGGCTAATAAGACTAACATCAAAGATGATTTCAATAACTCCTGTTTTTGAGAAGAACATGGTGGTAGGTTTTGGGCGTTTGTTGCTTTTTTTTAATCATCTTAGATTTAAAGAAAACTTACTGAAGTTTGTAATGGGCTTAAAATTACACAGAGTGAAGCAGAAGCTCAATGGTGCTGAAAATATTGTCTTAAATTATACAGGGGCCTTCCACTTGCTGATGAAAAGCAGTGAATGATGTAATAATTAATTACTCAGTGCAGTTATTGAGTATAAATCAGTCCATTGGTTGCACTTCCGCCTCCTTTATTTCCTCTAAGAGTAATTTTTAAAGGCAATCCAGGGGGCATACTCTACTTATTACCTGACCTATTTTATTAGTTTCCTAAAAGGAGAGGTGTTACAAAACCTCTCAACACTGAATGCTTTTGAATTTGTAGATGGGAAAGATTTTTCTTTCTAATCAGCAACTAAGCAGTTATTTAACAGTTCTAATTCAGCAGCTGGAAATTTTGCTCCCGATTTTGATTTTTGTGAAGTCAGTCTTAAGAATTATTTCAGACTATTTAGATATAGAAGCAGAAATGTATAGTCCAGATGTGTTCTGATTCCTTCACAAAATTAGCTGCAGCAGGAGTTCCAGTTTTTGTGGTGGACGCAGGAGAGGTTAGTTATTTAACAAAATGTGAAAAGAATAACAAACTGATCTGCTCAGATAAACAGGTAGATGGCAAATAAAAGAACTGTTTGGGGTGCCACATACTATCAACACTCATTTGGAAAGCTAAACTTTATCTGATCCTCCAGCATTTGAAGCTTTTAATACAAAATTTATTATGTTGACTTTTGGAAACAAAACTGATTCTTTGCGCCAGTCATGAGTCAAAGATTTCAGCAAGCTTTTGAAATCCTGGGAAACTATCTATTTTAACCTTTATGCCATAAAGCTCTGTCTTATTTGCTCTCCCTTGTATATATGCATAGTGTGTGACACTCTATTCAAGGCTGAGTCTGCATTAATTTCAGGTTGCTAAATTTATATGCTCATCCTCTGATAGGAGGAACCCTTTCTTTATCCTCTCTGCAAAGGTATCATTGTTCAGTACTGTTATTAAAGAAGGCTGCCCTGTTGTCAGCAATACAAAAATATTGTCACAAAAATAAAAATTTACTTTTCCAGTTTTAAACTAATTTTAGTACCCTAGCTACTGCTAGTCTCCCCTTATCCCACACAAGGTAAGGATATAATAGACTGCTTATGCTAGATTTGCTAATATCGTGTAGATGTACTTGTGACATTTTACCAACCTTTATTGTGAGGTCCTAGTTATTATTTGTAGTGCCTAGAGGTTACCAATCAAGGATCAAGGGCCCCATTTTGCTGACTGTGTATACACAGAAATGAAAAGACAGTTGTTGCCCTAAAGAACTTAAAATCTCAGGCCCTGATCACTGAGAGAGTCCCATTGACTTCAGGGGGACTGCTGAATGCATATAATTTAAGCATGAGTGTAAATCTTTGCAGGATCAAAGCCCAAAAAAGTGCTTCAGCTTCTCTGAGCACCCTCAACTGCCAGTGATCTCAACACCTTTGAGCCCTTCATCAGGCTGACTTTTGCTTGCACTGATAATGTCAAATATGATGTGAGGCTGTTTGAAATCTTGCCCAGTGAAACATTTATTCTTGGGAATATTACTCTGGAATTGTGTTTTGTATCCAATATAAAATAACAGCAGATCATGGTATGTTTCTGTACATGAAAATGTACACAGCCTTTTTCCCCCCCTCAGAGAGGGGGATGGGTGGGAATAGGAATGTGTGGAAGCTGCGTTATTTTTAAATTGGAACATTGTATCCCATAGCTTTTGGTGATAGCTTAATAAACTCTGTTTTTTATATAAATATCCCAAAACAGATCAAGAGACCCCCATTGTCAGCAATTAATTTGCAGTCATAAGTGAGGCAAGCTGTGAACTCAGTCAGATAGCACACACAAAAATGTTATTGCAGGAATAATACTTTACTTTAAAATTATGAGCCAAGTTCTGTTCTCAGGGAACACAATGCTCCATGAATCTCCGAGTGCTGTCAATGGAGATTACACATGCTTATCTGATCACAGAATTTGACCCATAGTAGCATGTGATAGGACCGGAACCTCCAACTCTTCCCAAAGCAGCATATGCGAGTAGGTAGAGCCCTGGATTGAGACTCAGGAGTCCTGAGTTGTATTCCCAGCTCTGCTGCTGGATGACCTTGGGCAAGTTACTTTACTTGTTCTTTGTGCCTCCATCTCCCTTCTGTAAAATGGGAGAAACAAAAACCTCTGTTAAAACCCTTGGGGATCTCACTGATGAAAAATACTATATAAGAACTTTTATTATGATTTCCCTTCCTAAGACTGGCATTTACATTTTAAACAGTGGGTGATGAAGGAGAATTGCCAAAAATAAATGGTCTGATGGCTGGTTTGTTTTTTAATGCTCTCTGAGGCACTATCATTTGTTTCCTTCTGGGAGGTCCAGGTGATCAAATCCCTGCCAAGTCTTCAACAGCTTGAGACACAGGAGTTCCAGTCAATCAGCTGAATGACAGGTGAAGACATATCTTTGTGTTCCCGTGAAATGGAGCATTGTGCCTAATACCCTGTTCTTTATCTAAAAATAAGTGTCTGTGTGGTGTCAGCACTGGGGTAGGAGGGGAAAGCCAGCATGGAAGATTTAAGGTAACCCTGCAGCTTCATGCTCCTTGAACTATGGAATTAGCAAATAAAAGAAGTCTTTGTAGTTTCATGGGTTTTTTTCATTCCCCCACCTCACAGCTCCTCACACCCTGTAGGGGTAACCTTGCCATGCAGCAGGATAGGCAAATGTCTAGGGTAGCGTTTTGCTCTATTCTACATTTCAGTAGATCTGAGTACCTGTCACTCCTGTTTAAATGAATGGGAGTTACAGGTGCTCAGTTCCACTGAAAGCTGTTGCCAGTGGCCTGATTGTGTGAGCGACTCTGGTCCTTTCTAAATTGATGAGCCCAGCAAAAATCCTAGTGCTGATGTGATCCATTTTCTTCTAAAGCTTGTGTGTGCTCTTCATTGACTAGTGGTGAGGAGGAGCAGGATGCTCTGAGACAACAATTGCATTGACACACTTAATGCTCTATTTTTCCCTGTGTAAGAAAGGGGGCTGTGTAAATTAAACATTTTGCTGCTGGTCTGCCATGTTACCTAATAGGCTATCATCATTCCAGTACTTAGATACCATGGTTGATTAATGTTATATTAAAAATAGGTAGATTCTCTTCATGTTCCAGTGAAATGTAGAATGCCAGCAACAGTCCAGAGAGAAACAAGAGGCACCTGAATTGGCTTATATTGAAACCATAGTTTAAATTTGAGTGGAGAGATGCCCCAAGTGATATATAGTGTCGTTACATATGGTTGATCAATCTACAATATGATATTTCTAATTCATCCACCACTGTATTGGCTGGGCACTATTTATATAATATATAAATTTACTGTTGCCTTCAGCGCCAACTCAGAAGCCAGAACTTTGGGGCTGGTAAAAATGGCAAAAAACGTCTGTGGTTTTTGGGTTTGGTTTTTTAAATGAAGAGAATAGAAGGTGTGACAGGATTGTGAGCATTATGGGTGAACAGTGGGAGGAAGGAAACTGAAGAAATGGAACCTCCTCACCAATTCGTATACTTATGCTGCTAATAAGAAAAACAGTCTGGGACTGCTTAAGTAAACCATTTTATATGGCATTGGAAGAATATGAATGTTTTTTTTATTATTATTATTTATTTATTTTTACTACCATCCTTTCCTCCTTACTACCTCTTCCACCCTTACCACCACACACACAGAGGTATACACCATCCTTCATGAGGAGATATTAATGTGACAGCACTTCCCCTTTGAGGGACTATAATGTATATGAGAATTCCCCTGGTGCTTTTGTTTAACTTGCTGTACCTGGAGACTCCTCACCTTGCATAGTGTACTAGTGATAATGATGGGAGCCCCCCTTAGTTTTCTTCACTACTGAAGGCAGTGGAGCCTTGGGTCATCTTTTGAAGCATCATCCCTTCCCCACCATCAGAGTGATTTGTCATTTAATCATCCGGACACCTGAGTGCTACTGCATGTGAACTGCCTTCAAAAGGGCAAAATGTACCTGAGTAAATTGATAACACAGAAACTCTGTAGAGGAGCACAGAACTCACTGGAGGCATTAAAGGGGAAATGATAGCATAAATGATGAATTTGCCATGGTGCCTTAGCATAAAAACAAACCATCTTTTGGACAGCAGATATCTGACTTTCTGTTTAGTACACTGACTTCATTCTCTATCTCTGCCTGGTCTAGTGCAGAGATATAGCCTTTGAAAGGGTAAGGGTACCATGGCCTTTTTTGGTATGGAATATGTTAATCCCATTCCGGCAATTCCTGTACTGTTTCCATGACACACCAAGGCCTATCAATCTGTTCTTTTCTCCCTCTTCAAAGATGAAGCAATCAAAAAATTTCCTCTACTCCTGCTCTGACTCTAGCTAGACCCAAGAAGCTTTTCTTAAATAGTAATAAATAATATTTACAAAGTTTAAGAGCATTAAGTTTTGTATGCTAGGCTCTTCCCATCTTCCTCACAGATCATTCTAGCTACCACTCACTGCATAGATATCAGGATGACTTTTTATTGGCAGGTGTACCTGATTTTCCTGTTTAACTTGGGCAGTAGGCAAGCAGGTTTGCGGAAGTGTGTTTGAGTTGTAGCTGTGCATATAACTTCATAACCTTGGGTTACACTGACTAATGACCAAATTCATTTAAAATTATATAATCCTATATGAAGCAGCACATCATATGTAAGTGTGCTGTGTATTCATCCCATATGTGTAGCTGATATTAGTATAACAAATGAATAGAATGCATTTATCATACACCTTTGACCATCTCTGACCACCTCCCCAGGTCTCTACTCACTGATCCATCTCTGCCAAAATTATTTCTAACCTTCTAAGGTGCTGTCATATTTAAAAATCAAACTTTCAGAGGAAAGATTCCTTGCTTCTCTCCCAAATGTGGAATCCTCTGCAATACCTAAACCTACAGCCCAGGAGAGATAATAGCTAGCGCTAGACCACAGAGAAGCTAAAGGTCTGATATCTAGCTATCTACTAATGTTGGAAATGGGACCTTTATACTGCTGGTAAGCAGAGATTTCTCTTTTTTCCCCAATTAGACACAAACAGCCCTTGCTTTAGTTTCTGGAAGGTCCAAGCTATTGGACTTTAATGTCATGCTATTTTCATAGCTATGAAAATCTATTTTAGGTTCTTTTCTATAGAGTTTTAAATTGGTTTCTCTCTCTTCTAGCCCTCCACAGCTGAACTCTCAGTTAACAGCTAGTGGAGGAATAAGGGATATCAAACAGTCCCAGTGCAATTTTTTAAGAACACTCAAAGCATGACTAGTTACGTAACAACTGTATGTGTTTCTGATTCATGCTATTGATGGCATGTAATGTGGCGTATACAGGGTTTATCAGCACCCCTTTGGGATGACCTGCTAAACTCACAGGTGACTTAGTGGGTAACAAAGCCATCCCAAACCACTAAAAACCTTTATGCCACACAATCATGTATTTATACTCTGTTTATGTATCATATTGTGGACAGCTGGAAACAAAGGTACCATCTAGGACAGGGTGGGCAAACTACAGCCTACAGGCTGGGTCCAGCCCATCAGGGTTTTGGATCCGGCCCGCAGGATTGCCACCTCAATGGTACCATGGGCCCCACGCCGTTGCTGGAAGCGGCCAGCACCACGTCCCTGGGGGAGGGCAGCAGAAGGCTCCGTGCGCTGCCCTTGCCTCCAGGCAGTGTCCTTCGCAGCTCCCATTGGCTGGGAACGGGGAACCGCAGCCAATGGGAGCTTTGCGGGAGGTACCCACAGGGGAGGGCAGCACGCGGAGCCCTCTGCTTCACCTCCCTCAGGGGCCACAGGGACATGGTCCCAGCCGCTTCTGGAAGCGGCGCGGGGCTGGGGCCAGGGCAGGCAGGGAGCCTGTCTTAGCCCTGCTGCGTGCCACTGCCACCCCGGAGCCGCTCCAGGTAAGCGGCACCAGGCCGGAGCCCAGACCCCCAAACCCCTCCTGCAGCCTGCACCCCAACCCCCTGCCCGGAGCCCCTTCCTGCACACTGCACCCCCTCCCACACCCCACACTCCCTCCTGCACCCCAACCCCCTGCCTGAGCCCTACATTCATGACCCTGCATGCAATTTTCCCACCCAGATGTGGTACTTGGGTCAAAATGTTTGCCCACCCCGATCTAGGATCTCTCAGTACACAAGGACTCATAACTAGCATCTTTTTCCACCTTAGCCTTCTCTAATAATTATTCATACAATGCTGTATGGTCCTCCTCTTAGATCATTAGTTTCCCTACACTCCTCCCTCCTTTGTCTTTTTTTAATTGTAAGTGATTTTCAACTGCATAATGAACCTAGTATTTGACTAACTGATTCTCCTTCCCCCCCACCCCCACGTTGCCATAAGCTAGCAGTATGTAAAGCTGTAGCAACTGTGAATATACAATAGATATCTTGCATCCATCCTTTGTTTGGCTCATAGTTTTGTTTTTTAATTGAACACCCAATTTCTTGGGTCTGGCCACATTTTTAATTTCAGGAGACATATTTAGGATTGTTAAAATATAGGCCAAAGCAAATGGCGCTCTTACCAGTGCCTGTTACAGTACCTGAGGCCCTGGGCTAAATGGTGGCTGTATATAACAAAAACCTCCATTGCATTGCCCATGTTGGCACAATTATACCAGTTATGTGCCAGCAATCTTTCCTTTGTGTTTCAGCTGCATAATGCAGCTATTCTATTTGTGTATTGAACAAGTGGGGCTGTTTCTTCATTGATCCCTATTCTTGCCTTCTATTGGATCATCACTCTGTATGTGACATCATCTGATATCACAAGAAAAACATTGAAATCACGGATCCAACATTATGACTAGAACTGGGCAGAAAATGGTTTTCCTGTCCAGTGAGAATTTTTCCAAAAACTTTCATTACTAGACGAAAAGCCAAAATTGGAAAACATTTCACAAACCAGCAAAACAAAAAATAATTCAGTTCGGATCCATCAAAATATTTTGTTTTGCTATTTTCAAAACATTTCATTTCAATTTGTCTTTTTAAAAAACTTGTTTAAATCTAAATTTATTAACTAATCAACAGTTATTTTTACTCGAACTGAAACTTTCTGGTTGTGTGTTTGTTTTG